AGAAGATTTGGTTCACTATCAAAAACCCGACTCCAACTTTGTAGCTGCAAGCAACTGAATTCTCCACACAGATTTCTGTCCTCAGTAAAATGTAATTCCACATCTGTCTCATCTCTCTTCTCTTCTGAGCTAGTGTTGCTGGGGAAAGGGAAAAAACAGAGCACTGCTGATGAGGGAAAAGACAAAACTAATCAAACAAAATTGAGGATGCCATTTCCTTGCTGCCACTCACCATTTCAGACACTAACTGTCTCGCTTTCCCCTCAAAGGACTCACGCGAGCGCACACGGAGAAGTGCACGCTCTTCAGTGTGGGAGTAGCATGAGTCACCGCTCGGCCCGTTCCAAGGGGGAGGACTTAATTGACGCTGGAATCAACTGTACAAACCGGATATGAAGCCGAGCTCAAACACAACAGGAAGCAGGAGGTAAAGTGGTGCCACGCTGCCGAGGACGGTGCAGCGCTGTTAAATTAAACAAGGAAATTTGTTTTTCTAACCCTAATCTATATTAGCAGCAGTGTCTTGACTTAACATGCTGCCAAATGCGAAGCAGGCGTTGTATTTTATTTCATTACTGTGGGCCAGCACCCTGGTCCTCGCCCCCCAGCCACCTTTTCAAAGGCATTACCAAAACTGCTTGCCAAATTAATTTACACATACTAGTTCCCATCAGTGGAAGCACAACAGCTCACTAGAGCTCTCTCCAAGCCAAAAAAAGAAGGTAAAGTTTAAGACACTGTGGCAGAGTGCTTTTATTAAGCCATGAGCACAAGCTACTGTATGAATTATTAAGGACTTTGGTGCATCTATAGACCATCAAACCATTAGCCTGCGAGCAAAAGGCATCCAGGAGAGCACATTCAAAAATACCTCACCCCTTTGCGCTCGCAAAGTCCTGACAGCATTTCCTTGTGATTGAAGAAGTTGGAACACACCGAGTTTTGAACCCAACCCCTCTGAATTTTTCAGCAGCTGCAGCTGCAGTTAAAGCACCATTAAAGCACAAAAGCCGTGTCTGCGTGGTTTTCTATAATTGATGAAATAACAAGGTATTTATTGGAGGAAATATTGCAAGCACTTATCTGAGGGGATGGCGCGGCGACTGCAAGTGGTATAAAATGCACGACAGTGGCCAACAAAAATGGGCACCTGTAGCAATACTGAAACACCCGCTGTATGTGGAATAACAACCCATGTACTCACATTCCATCTCGGCTTTTATATTAGGATACAAAATGGTAAATGGACTGGTAACTATATAGTATTTTTCTACGCTAACAGAGCACTCAAAGCGCTTTTTTTACTACAAGCCTCCTTCACTCAGTCACATTCATACAAGTGCTTTTTTGCTATATCCAAGCACCTCATCTAATATTCGCACACACACAACCTCCGGTGGATACATCAGGGGCAACTCTGCGTTCATGTCAAAGTACGCCCAAGGATACTTCAGCATGCAGACTGGAGCAGGCACTGGATAGATGACCGGCTCTACATCCTGAGCCACAGCTGCCACAAAATTCCCAGGCAAGCGACCATCCAAGTACCAACCATTGGGCATGCTCAGGGTGGTATGGCCTCGAGCAGAGACTGTAACCTTAGGAAATACTTAACTAAAGTTACTTTCAAGATGGCTACAGCGGGTAGATCGAGCCAGTGACCTTTTGCTTACCAAGCCAACGTGTTAACCACTACAGTCTAGAGCTGCTCTCACTGCTCTGCAGACACATCAGTGTATTTTTGGCAAAACATTCACGTAAACAACACCAGCCAATATTAAACAGATTGGGGTGGTTACTTATGACTTTTTACTAAGATAATAGTACAATGCAGTTTAAAAATTATCTTGTTATTACAACAACTTAACATTTTATATTTTCATCTGATACAGGTCCACCGACATTCAGTAATGATCTATTCTGGTAGGTCATTTATTGTGAAT